GGCATTGTGGTGTTGTTTTGTATTAATTTGATGAATATATGTTAATGTATTCTTAAGCATTCTGTAACTGCCTCCTGGCAGGTGTGATCAAGAGATGGGCTTTTCTGTGCACTGTTCATACGGATCAATTTAGAGTGTTTTTAGCAGATGTTGGTTGTAGACACTGCTCTCGTGTATAGCAGCAGCTGGTTTTGGCTCTTGCCCAATTGTTGGGTTTTAGAAGGTACAGTTGTGGCTGTATGGCTGCAGTTTCTGTCTCTCTTGTCTCTGTAAGTTGCAGGCAGGCTTCTGCAATGGGAATGCCCTCTTGTCTCTCAATTCTGCTCACTACCATCCAAAAGGCTGTGACAGGTCACCTTGGCCACCCCAAATCAGAATTCACCTCCTTTCCTGCTTCTGTTCAAATTCTTTCTCCCTGTAGGCACTCGCCCTACTTATTTCTCTCTTTATCTGAAGCTCAGAGTTCCAAGACTGTCCTCTGAATCTGTTTCATCTGGTTTTCTGTGTTTTTGGTGAAGAGAGTCTGCACAGCCTTTCTGCCTAGTTCACCATCAAGCCCCCGAGAATGATCTTTCTAAAGCATAAGTTTGCTCATGATGTTTTCCTTCCTAAAGGCTCTCTTTTACAAGAGGTTCAGGAGAGAGCTCAGACCTCTTCAAGTGGTTTGGGAGTCCATGTCTCAGCGATGCCTTGTCTACTTAGCCCTCAAGTTCTATGAGACCCTCACTAGGTGTTACTTACACCTCTGCCTTACACACCTAATTTTACTCTTTTAGAAGAAAAGATTCGATTTCATCAGGAAGAGGGCTAGAATAGAACAGGTGAATGGTGGATGTTCAAGTTATAAAAGACCAAATGTGGCCCAGACTAAGATGTATTTAGGAGTCCTAGTATGATGCTGTAGGATCAGCACTGGACTACTAACTGCAAGGTTGGCAGTTGAAATCTACCAGCTGCTCCTTGTAAACTCTATACAGGGTCACTATGAGTCAGAACCAACTTGATGGCACTTAACCACAACAATAACATGGTGTATTTAGGGAGAGAAATATAAGGAAACATAAGGAAGACACACTGGCTCTATAGGAGAAAGATCTGGCAAGCTGCTTCCATAAAGATTACAGGCAAGAAAACTCTATGGAAAGTTCTACTGTGTCACATGGGGTTGCTATGAGTTGAAAATCATCTCAACAGCACCTAACAACAACAATAACAACAAGGAAGGACCACTGGTAGAGAGGCCAGTTTTCTTTCGCAAGTCCAGTGTTCAGTGAGCTAGGTTCTGACCCAGCCCCTCAGCTGGTCTTAGATCTCCAGTGAAGACACAGAGGACGAGGCTGAGTGCTGAGCCAGGCTGAGGCTGAGCAATCATAGCTTAGGCATCCTTTATGTGGCTGGGCCAGGCAATGGTGTTCTTCACAGAAAACATGTGGTATGTTAGGAAACAAACAATTCCAGGGAGACCATTCCTCTTGGAGATAGGGAAAAATGTGAATTATCTTGAGTTAAAAAATGTGGGGCTCCCAGGAGGCCTGGAGAAGTGGAGGTGGTGGGGTGGGAATTGATTGATGAGGTTCAGTTGTGCTGTCTCTTGGCCTTCTCTGCTCATGATCAGCTAATCGGGCTCACGCACATTCGAATGATCATTGTCACCTTCTCAGGAAACCGTGCTTGATGCAATATCCCCATGCTTGATGCATATCCCTGGCTACACTGGATGGGCAGCAGGATCAGGGCCAGGCATTGATCTTTGGCGATGGACCTGTATCATGTGTCCTTTCATGACAATCTTGGAGTCTGCTTTGCCAAGGTGAGCTGAGGGTCAGATGTTCTTTTGAATTCTTTCTGAGTCTCCTAGGGGCATCCTGGCTGTTTCTGGTGGAACTGGACAAACATTGGAGGTTATCTTTTTAGATTAGGGAAATCAAGGCCTAGAGATGGAGAGGACCCTGTTCAAGGTCACGTGAGACCCCAAACCTATGGTTCCATTTGCCCATCATGAGCAACCTAGAGCCAATTCTGCTCTTAACTTCCAGGGGGAGTAAGTTTAAGGCTTCTTGACATTTACAAGGTCTACTCTTTGAACTTCTGCTGGAACCTGTTGGACATGCTAATTGGGTCAGGTTGCTTTCCTGTCCGACATTCTTCAATAGCCCCTCCGTGCCTATGGCAAGAAACCCAAGTCCTTTACCAGTTAGTCAAGGTCTTTCAAGATCCAGCCTTTGACTTCTCATCTGCCATCACCCACCAGTTCCATGCCTCTCTGCCTTTGCACATGCTGTTTCTGCTCCTCGAATGCCCTTTCCTTTTGGTCTTTTAACTGCTCATGCTCGCTCATTCTGTGGCCTCCTCTGACCCTTAGGCTTAGCCACTCCTTTCATTGAGTTCCCAGAGCTCTTGGTAATTCCTCCATTAGCACTTATTTAATTGACTTAGAATTATTTTGTTTACGTGTGTCTCCTCTCCCCATGGGAGGAAGCATGTATTACCCATGTTGACACCCTCTCCCCTAACAGTGCCTAGTACACTGCCTGACACACAGCTTAGGCTCAGCAAATGTCTGTGGAATGAATTGTTGAAGGACTTGTTTGTCCCCAAATGTCCCCTACACTGTGCCTGAAATGCCACCATTCATGAGTCCTGCCTAATTCCTGGCCCCTGTCCTGTCTTCACACAGCTGGAGTCTCTCTTCTCTCTCCAACAGCTGGCCCAACCCTACCCAGATTCTGGGGCCAATGGAAGCCTTAGCCCAGGGAGATTTAAAGGGCCAGCGTTCAGAGGCGCAGGTGACTCAACCCCTATGAGCTTGGCTGCATATTCTATGACTGCTCTGGGCCTGGGGACCTGGCTTCTGCCATATCTCATGAGGCAGGTGGCTCCTCAGCAGACCATATCCCTAGATTCCCAATTCTCAATCCCATAAGGCACTTCCCCTGGTCTAGAGATGAGGATCACTCCTGTTTGCTGTGGCCAGCTCCCAGCTTCCAGACCTGACACTTGCTGCCTTATTCAAAGGCACACACTTTCATTTGGCAGCTACTTGTGCCAGGTGTGGGGTCTCTACTGCCACAGTCAAGGGGAAGCGGCCAACACACAGACACTGACAATACATTATGGTCAGTGCTAGAATGTTGTTGTTATTGTTGTTAAGTGCCATCAAGTCGGTTCCGACCCATAGCGACCCTGGGTTTCCGAGGGTGTAAATCTTTACGGGAGTAGAAAGCCTCATCTTTCTCCCGCAGAGCAGCTGGTAGTTTCAAACTGCTGACCTTAAGGTTCACAGCCCAATTCGTAACCACTACGCTACCAGAGCTCCTTCAGTGCTAGAATAGGGGTCTGATAAAGGGCTGTGGGATCATGGGGCAAGGGGTGGTGAAACAAGCCTCTGATTGAGTTGGGATTGAAGGGGGAAGGAGGAGCTTCCTTCTGGCTGAGGGATACAGAAGGGCTGCATTGTAGAAATCTCCCACCCCCTCAACTCTGATCCAGAACCCTCAGCCATGTCCACAGGGCTGTCTGGCCCTGTCCTGGGAACCTGTTCTTGGAGGAGGGATTGGAAGTTTGAGGAGAGCACCCTGGCTCTCTAAACCAGCCATGCCCACAAAAGCTGCCACATGTTTATTCACTCAGCCAATATTGAGGGAGTCCTCACTGTGTGCCAGGGACTAGGCTGGAAACTAGGAGTCAATCTAGTGGCGCTTGTAGCCCTAGTGAGGCAGAGAATGTCAAAGACATGAGATAGAAGCACACAGCCTGAGATGCACGGTGATGGGGGGCTGGAACCAGTAGGGGCAGTGAGAGGGAATAGTGTCAGGGAGGGGACGACTAAATCCAGCCCACAAGAAAACTAATAGTACCTCACACTTGTCCCCAAACCTCCACTCTCCCCAGTGAGGACAGAGGTGTATCATTCAACAACCTCTTTGATTCACCAGATGACCTGTGACAACATCTTGTAACATTTAGGGAGGCAACAGAGACCAAGGACTTTAGAGGTGGAGCACATCTGGGTTCCAATTCTGTCTACTTTATTTGAGAATTGTGTGGATTTAGGCTGGTAACTCCAGCTCTGTGAATCTCAATTTGCACATCTGAAAAATGGGTTTAATGTTACCGTGAGAATTCGAAATAATAACTATTGAAAACACTTAGCACATGGTAGCCCATTAATTTGTTGTTGTTGTTAAGTGCCGTGGAGTCGGTTCCGACCCATAGCGACCCTGTACAGGGTTTCCGAGGCTATAAATCTTTACAGGAGCAGAAAGCCTTATCTTTCTCCCACAGAGCAGCTGGTATTTTCGAACTGCTGACCTTGCGGTTCGCAGCCAGATTTGTAACCAGATTTGTAACTACCAGAGCTCCTTAGGCCATCAATTTAGGGTGACTGATTAAACATAACAGTAATTGCATTAACTCTGGGAAATATAGAGCCCTGTGGAAAGATGAGACCTTGCAGAGGGGTGTGTGTGTGTGTGTGGTGGTCTCTTGGTGGGCTGGGTGGGAAAAGCCTGGGCTCACTTTAGCTAGCCTTGCGGGAAGGAGTCGCGTGGCCTCCTCCCTCCTGTGTCCAGGTTTAGCCCTGCGCTTGTGTCGTGGGGAGGCGCAGGTGTCTGCTCAGTCTCGCGCGCATCCTTAGGCCTCGCCGCCTTGGCCTAGGCCCCAGCTCCCGTCAGCCAGCCGCCCCGCGTCCTTCCCTAACCTCGGGTCTGGACTGGAGAGCAGAGGGGCCGGCAAAGTTTGAGTCACGGAGGAGGGAGGGAAGAAGGCGGGCCCGTGACCCTGAACGGGGTGGGCTCTAGGACCCGAATAGGGCTCCCAGCAGGGGGACCCTGCCACGAGCCCTAGTTCGCGCGCACCGGCTGCTGCCTGAGGCGAGCGAAGCGTAGTGCTGCAGTCGTCGTCGGGCGGCTGCCGGTGCGTTCGGGTGACCGTGCCACGTTCCCTGTGACCTGCGCGCTGCCCCCCGCAGCAGCCGCAGCCACTCGGCCGCGCTCCACACGATGCCGGCCGCGCGGCTCTTGCGGCTGCTGATGGCCATCTCCACGGCCGCGACCGTGACTGGCTCACTTGAGCCCGCGCTGCCCCCTAGAGCGGGGGACGCCACCTTGGCCTTCGTCTTCGACGTCACCGGCTCCATGTGGGACGACTTGATGCAGGTGATCGACGGCGCCTCGCGCATTCTGGAGCGCAGTGTGAGCAGCCGCAGCGAGGCCATCAGCAACTATGCTCTGGTGCCCTTCCACGACCCAGGTAGCGTCCCCCTGGCACCCGGGTGCGGCGCGCTCACCTGCCCACCGCCCGCCCGCCCGCCGGCGACCTCAGCCCCAGCGCACCTAGACGCCCGCGGACTGCTCGGCGGCCACCGTAGTGCTATCTCCGGCACGTCCGCCGTGCCTGGACCCGGCCCTGCAGCCCCGTCCCTCTCCGGAGCCTGCCGCCCTTCTTTCCCGCGCCTCCTGGTTCCGTTGTCGGGCTTTTGGTAGAGAGGGTGGGGGAACGAAGGGCGCCACTTCATTCAAATCCCACTCAGCCACTTTCTGGCTGTACGACCTTCCCCAATTATGAAATGTGGGTGAGAGACTTCTAAAGCAGTTGAAAGGAAGAGCGTTTGCAGGATTCGTGTTTTTACTCTTGCTAAAAGTACTTAGGAAATTCACCCCCTTGCCCATTCTCCCTGGGAAAACAGTAGGACCCATAACTTGCCCAGGCTCATCCTCGCCTTTGCCCGTCCTGTTCTCACCGCCATACCTTCTGTTGTTGTTGTTAAGTGCTGTGGAGTCAGCTCCAACTCATAGCGAACCTGTATAGGATTTTCGAGGAGCAGCTAGTGGATTTGAACCGCTGACCTTGCCCTTAGTAGTCCAGTGCTTATCTACAGTGTCCCACCAGTATTCCATTGCCATTCTAACAATTTTGACCTGCAGATGGCACCTCTGCTTCCCCTCCTTTTCAACACAATGTCTGGAGCCCACCCCTGCAACAAGTCCCTGGGAGACCCCACTGTGAGGAGTTACAGGGAAAATGGCTACTGACTGTGCCTAATGCTCCCCATCTTCTTGAGAAAGACTCCCTCCCCCCACAACAGTTTATTATGAAAACATTCCACCTTACAGAAAATTTGAAAAAAAATCAGTTCATCGTTTAGGTTCTATGATGAACATTTTGCTTTATTTGCTTGATCACGTGTCTCTCTGTCTATTCACCCCTCCATCCAGGATAGCTTTATAAATCCTTAGACACATACCCGCTGTCATCCAATCGATTCTGCCTCATAGCTACCCTATGTAGGGTTTCCAAGGAGCTGGTCGGGGATTTGAGACGCAGCACCTTTCGGATAGTGGTCCAGTGCTTATCCTACAGAGCCACACTGTTGTTGATGTTAAGTGCTATCGAGTCAGTTCCGACCCATAGCGATCCTGGGTAGCGTTTCTGAGAAGCAGCTGGTGAGCTTGAACTGCCAACCTTGCAGTTCAAATGGCTTTGCAGTCTGGTGCATTAACCCATAGCACCACACCAGGGCTCCACTAGGACTCCAGAAAGCCTCATTTTTCTCCTCTGGAATGGCTGGTGGATATGAACCGATGATCTTGCTGTTAGCAGCCTGTGCTTATCCATCAGGATTGTTGTTGTTGTTATGTGCCGTGGAGTGGGTTCCAACTCATAGTGACTCTGTATAAGGTTTCCAAAGAGCAGGGGGTGAGCTTGAACCACCAACCTTGCAGTTCAAACGGCTTTGCAGTCTGGCGCATTAACCTCCAGCGCCACACCAGGACTCCATCCATCAGGATATACATCTATAAATTTTGTAGATCTTCTGCAAAATTGTACTGCCAAGCATTCTTATACTGTGTAAAATATACAATCACCAAAGGCTGTAGGAGTTCCTAAGACCTTTTAGAAAGATTTGCACTTATTAATCATAACATCATTGCAGCTACTTAAAAAACTGGTAACAGTGGGCAAAATATAATTCCGTGTTGTTTAGGAGCATTGAGACATCCCTACTTCCAGAAAGCCTGGGTTCCCCAGCGCTCTGCAGTCCCAAGGCCAGAAGCCAGGGGTCTGGAAAAGGGTTTCTAGAAATATCACAAGTGGGGAATGTGTAATGAGGAGGTGGAGTGTGTGGTATGTCAACTAGGTGGCAGGTAACTCTCAATGACTCTTAACTCTCTCACCTTCTTTCTGGTTGTTCTTAGACTTCCAGAGACATTCTTGCTTCTAGGGAGTTAAGAGATCATATCTATTTCACCCTTCTCTTATAGTGTTAGATGGCATACCCAATAAGTAAGGAAGCACATGCTTACTTGTGCTTACTTAACTAATCATCTAGTTCAGCGATCTAGTTCACACTTGTTTTACACAGTGTTGGATTACTCAATAAGTAAGGTAAGCATGGGCTTACTTGTACTTAATTACTAATCTGTAGTGAAAAATTTCATACTTTTCCCACCACATCAAAGATTTTGCTTCTAGACCTGGTTGGCATCAGTCTCTTTCCCAACCTCACAGCGCCTGCCTAAAGAATCAGTCTCTTTTCAAATTGATGATCCCTAACAGGGGTAGAGTACCCTATAGATTAGTAAGTGAGCCCAGGTAAATTCATGCTTATGTTGCTTATTGGGTAATCTGCCCCTGGTCTTATAGTTGGGTTAGCTGAGACTCAGGATGGGACTTACCAAAGGCCACCTGCCAGGATGATGTCATTTCTGTTATAACCCATATGAGTCTCTAAAATCCTGGGCTTTAATTGCAGTGCAGAATAACAGCCTTTCAGAGCCAGGCCCAGGCTGCTGAGGGCTGTCCCTACTGTACCCACCTCTGGCCCCCAGCTTCATGAAGCCCTTTTTCCATCTCCCAATCTTTTCCTTCTCACTTGGCCCATCTCATTCCCCAAATAACCAGGTCCAGATAAAGAAGAGTACTTAAATGCTTACTGAGCACTTGTGTGCAGAACTCTGTGAGGCCTGAAGTATAAATGGGGCAGGGTTTGTTAGGAGACAGGCCAGGCAGAGAGTAGAAAGTGTCATGTAGTATCTCAGGTACAGCTCCTGGCCATCAGTCAGTGATGGAGGCGACTAATAAAAGGCTATCTGACAGGAATGGGTAACTTAGACATTGGCTACCCAAAATGTGGGGGCATATAAAGACAAGAAGTGACTGGATTACAAGATTTCAAGAGGGAACCTAGTTCCAGATGGGGCGGGGGAAGATGGAATCACCACTGAATGATTTCCAATCAGTTGGGAATGGACTGGCGAAAGGAAATGGGGATAAGACTCTTGTGGTACAATAGTGAATAATTGCCATCAGGGTTGACTGTGAGGGTAGAAAATATAGAGGTAGATGTTTTTTGACAAAAGGAGGAGAGTGATTGATTTTGCAGCCCAGGAGCTGAGGTCCCTGGGACCATCGTGAGAAGAACAGACAGTCGGACCCTACCCCAAGAGGCAGTGACACCAGGGATGGAGACAGAGATGATGATGTGGACAGATGGAGTGGCTGGGGACACTGGACTCAGGGAGGGAGAAGGGCTCTGTGCTGGTGGCCAGGGGGCAGGCCTGTGTGGTGTACCTTTTGGTTGTTTGATGATGCATGGAGGGGATTATAATCATTGCAATGAAGCGAAATGCAATAGGATGAATGTAGGACTGATGTTCTCCCATGCAAACATCACAACTCTAAAAAAAAAAAAAAGACTGTCTGAGCAAGAAAACACTGGAACAGGGTTTGAAGAACATGAAAAAGTATTTGTTGAGTTCTGACCATGTGCTGGCTGATGCTCTATGCTGGGATACAGCAAGGACAGAAGATACCATAGGCTTGGATTGCTGGGTTGTGGCTGGAGGATGGTTTGGGTGGATGATATGTAAGGACAAGTGTACAGTATGTTATTGTTGTAGTTAAGTGCCTTTGAGTTAATTCCAACCCATAGCGACCCTGTATAGGGTTTCCAAGGAGTGACTGCTGAGTTTGAACAGCCAACCTTATAGTTCATACTGACTTTGGAGTCCAGTGCATTAACCCACAGCACCACACCAGGACTCCAGTGTAGGTTATAAGAGGAGTAAAATGAGCAATGTAGGTAGGGGAGAGAGGAACCAGGTCATGCTCGCCAGACTGAGAGTTTGGGCAGGATTTAGGTTCGCCTCTATGGGGTTGGAAGAAGTACAGCCAGAGTGCTCCTTGGAGGCCAGGATGGCTAAATTTCATTTCTCATACTTCGGACATATTGTCAGGAGGGACCAGTTGCTGGAGAAGGATATCATGTTTGATAAGGGTCAGAGAAAAAGAGGAAGACCCCCAGCAAGAT